TCGAGTTGTTGGCCAAATTTTGCAGTCAGCTTACTGGACTAACAATTTGTGAAACTAAGTGTTCAAATAGTGAAATTCAGCTATTATATTTCATTTAGAAAACATTTCTGGAATTTTTCACTCCGCATTTTGGGAGTAATGCAATGTAGTGGTGAAGTTTCTTTGGGTAAAAGAAATACGTGGAGTAAGATTGTCTGCCGGGCTTTGCTGGTGTTTATACCAGGCTCCGCTTTGCCGGCGTGGTGTTCGCGTGGCGTGGCCCAGAAAGTTGGGGATGCGTGAAAACCTTTGCTTTGAAAAGCATTTGGCACACAGCGATAGATTGTGATGCATTTTGTAAATAAACCACACTTGATGCATGCAAGCGCCTGGAATCGCTGAGGCTCTCGGGCATGAAGGCACCCGGTGCTCTTGCTCTGTGCATACATAGACATGATTCAGATGTAGACGAGGCAGTATATAGCCATGGGTGTTCAGGTTCTATGGAGCATTGTTTACGCTTGGTATGTCCAAGTGATCTCGGTTTTGGATGACATTTTAAAACCTCTGAAAGGGATACATAAGTTTGGTATGAGTGGTTAGACAATATCAGGTAAGAGTCAAATGTTCGCATGAATATGGGGAGCAGGAGCAAAAATTCCTCCTCATAGGGCGCTGCATTCCACCCAAAATGGGCAATTCTAGGACACTGCATAGAAGTTTGTTTCGTCGCTTCTGCGTCCGAAATTCCATCAGATGTTTTTAATAAGCTTCGACAAATTTTGGTCGTAAGAGATCACACTTGTCCATAAAACTATGATCTTGTTTATTGCCGGCTAGTCACAATTTATGACGTTATGCGCCCATCCAAACATGTTTGAAGTCTTTACAAAACACGCCCAACCAAAATTGCCCATTAAAGGCGCGTGGTTACAAAGTCAACATTAAAAGGGTTTTAAAATGTTAAGAAAAGTTTTGCACAGCAATGTTACGAAAACGGCTTTTGTTACGGACCATGTAATGGAAGTGGTCACTGAGAAGAAAAGGCGTTTCTGTCCAGACCTTACCTACCACAGCTTCTCCCTTCCAGAACACTTGGATGAGTTACTTTCCAACTTCTGGACTTCATTAGAGCCACGTGACGAACGGCTCTGAGCAGCGCGCTGTTCTCCGTCAATAACCCCAACAGCAGTCCATTTACGGAGCAGCAGTGTTATACGACGCATGCCACGCGCGCGGCTCCTTCGACACCAGGTACGGTTGAGAACTAAAGCGAGTTCACCACGAATGCGCAGACCGCGCCGTGCGTATGGCACCATGACCTTCTTCGCGCGAAATCCAAAAACGCGTATTGGATGGTTTGGAGGGTTTGATTTCCAGCGACAAGTTCTTATCTGTCTGTACGACGGTACGTGTGCTTTTGTCCTGTCACCTTAGGATGGCGACTTAAAACGCGCAATGACAGGTAAGACACGCAGTCGTGAGATGATAATTGTTGGGGCTTTACGTCCCTTCGTCTTACGAATGCCGTTGTGTCTGAGCACCTGCAATAAAATGCCGAAATAGAATGAACAGACGATATGCAAAAAAGCGCTGCGTGGTAGATACTCAGTTGGCGCTATTCACGCGAGGGGCGTTAACCTTCAGGTAGTCGTTCGAGTTGCGCTGTCACGCGACGTCCGGTTAGTTGCTAGGAACGCGGTGGGCAAGCCAAACGTTATTGGAAACGACTTTTGGCGAACTTACAGCAACTAGTTGGATGAGTCAGATTTGAACACTAAAATAGTGCATTAAAAATCCATTAAACGTCCGTTTCAGCTCCAAGACCGAAAAACAACCAGTGAAGAGAGGATTTTGACAGACATCGACACAGTGGGTTTGATTATCTGAAGGTGGCGTTTTTATGATCATATTATTTCAGGTCATGTCCATGACCTAGGAGCAGGATCGCAAACTGCTGCGCTGGTCGACCCCTGGTGAATTGCCGCCGCGCTGTAACTGGCTCCCTCCGTAGGTCACTGAGGACGGGGCTCAGCTTAGTTAACTTAGTTTACTTAACTTAAGACGGTGCATTGACCTACTCCATGTAGGTGGCTCCACTCCTTTACCCGTTGATATTTATCAAACCTAGCACTATCGTCACCATCATCCTTGACCACGATTATCAATGTAACCAATGTGTTATGCGTACCCATGTCTTCCAGCGCATTCAAAGCACTGCCGCAATGTTGAGCCATAAAAGAAAAGAAACTGCCAACGTCAAGCAACAAAAGGAAGACTTAGTGGGAACAGATGTTCTTGATAACTTTTCGTATAAGAGGAAAATCCAGATGAAAAATAGAAAGTTCATTGTTTGATCCCAATTCATTTCGAGTCTAACCTTTAATCTATATTAGGCCGGAAACCAATTATTTCTGCCGGTGGCAGCGTGTGGCGGTGCAGAACCACCTGGATGATGACGTCAGAAAGGCTGGGCGCGAACCCCGTCCTCAATGACCTGCGGAAGGAGCCAATTACAGCGTGGTGCTGGGGGCGGTGGGGCGCACTGCCGGAGTCCAAATTGGGGTTGAGAGGCTCGATACTTCCAATTCGCGGGGCAAAGCGAGTTGGTTTCAGAGTCGCCCAATTCTCACCGGGCGAGAGCAGCATTACTCAGAAGAGGGATTCGTATGGACCCATTACCGTTCGACTATTAAAAACAGTCATAAAATAAAAAGGTCGGTGCCAGCCTCCGTGACATTTCAACTGTCAACCAAACACAATTTCAGGCCAACGTCTTGTTTGCACTGACAAAACGCATCGATACTTTTCCGCCCCCCCAAAAGAAAACAAAAAACGAAACCACGACAACCAGATGAGCACAGGAAAATCTCCCCAATCAGATGACTCACAAAATGAGGTTGAGCATCGATTGAGGATCGGTCATAACATGATTTATGTGAGTGCAACGTTTATGAGGGAATTCGCAAATCGGGTACATCAAAATGCATGTGTTCGTGACGATTCAAGTCAGTATGCAAGCAAGCACGGCCTGGAACGCTTGATCGTTTCGGACGCTAATTCGTATGCGCCCTTTCAAATTGGTCAGCCATTCTACAACCAAGTCAGGAGGTTGGCTCTCGTACTGCCCCTGTGTGCCCTGTCTTTTCAGTAAAAGGTACAGTTGACCAAGGTCAGTTGAAAGAAAAAGTGAAAAAGTGAGTTCATTGTTTTATGTTTTGATTGAGTATGTACAAAAGGCAAAAACTGATTTGATCCCACTGTCTTTTCTTTTAAATACATCTGCAGTGTCTCCAACGGTCATAGACTGCGCGGCCGAAAATGTGACATTTTTCAAGCTACCTGTCCATCTCTGTTTTGCATGTTGACTTTTGGCAGGGTATTTGTGCAGCGAACAAACTAACCGATACGACTTGTAACATTATGTCAAGGGATACACAATGACAAAACATATGAATATTAGGCAATGCAAGTCTTATCAACTGCAGGATAACACTGAATTGGCCTATAGCGTGATAATGTAGGTTAATTCAAATGTTTGTATGTGCGTATGTAAAATGTCTATTTTCTCCGATTTTCAGAATATTTATATCACGTAGGTATTAAGGTACTTGCCATAACTCAGTAAAAATTAGCCAAGAAATATGATAAATCGTGCTGCTATTTAAAGTACTGCGGATGCTTTTAACCCAAGTTCGACGTTACGGCGGCCATTATCAGGCTTAAGGGGAGGTACGATTTTTATGACTGAGGTTTATTTTTGTTTACATTCTTATGCGTAACAGCTGGTTTCCTTAGTCAGACGGGATTGTGTCTCAACATCAGCGACTATTTCGCGTCACGGTGACGTCACTCTTCCACCCGGTCGTCGTGTGCCTTTCCTGGCCGTGGGACCATTGTCATAATCTCTAGTAAAACATATATGGCGGTGACTAGGCCTTTTGAAGACATTATTTACGTATAGAAGAAGCGTCAGTTAGGTGAGCTAATGACGTCTTTAATTTGTGGGAGCATTAGTATGCAAAATGCATGATATCGTATAAAGCTTATAAAGCGGGATTTTTGCAGCCCACTTCGATTTTTACGCTACTTGAAATAAAACCAAGTGGGGGAGAAGAGAGGAAAATACTATGCTAAACATGCCATGATCGGTGATTTATTCCAGCATATTATAGCACGTCGAGTAAAACACCAGACAGGTAACATTTCCTCACTTGAAGAGGTCAACACGGAGCGCAGCTTCAGCTCTACCTCAACAGCCTTGACCCTAACGACGGGTATCCATGGTAACCTGAGACGCTGAGTTCGGTAAGCTATGGAAAAGCTCTTTCGGTACCATAATCTTGGTACTTCCAATCATTTTCCAAATCATTCTCTAATAGCAATGACATCGGCTTATGAAAATACTTGTAAATGCTGTCTGACGTCTGGCGGACCGTCATTTTTTAACAGAACGCTACGCACGTCGTCATGCTTCTTATGAAGCGCCAGCGGCCGCGTTGGTCAAATTAGGGCCCAGCAGCCATAGCGCAACCGGGATTCATCTGCCGGGCCACCTTTGCCGCGACAGCTGTAGATAAGTATTCAATCACCCGCAAGCTTATCTCACAATAGTTCCATTGATGCCGAGTGCGTCGATAAGTTATGCCGCCATGTACCGCGAAGCTACGGGTACAGCGAGAACCGACTGACGACGGTGCCCAGTGAAAATCTGGTGGTAGCGGTTCAGGCGGACGCGAGGCGATGGTCATGCGAGGGTAGATGATGGGAAACGAAAGGTGGATCAGGTAGATAATTGGAAATGGGAGGTAAGCGAAAGACGAGTGACGGTCAAACCTACGGCGACTGTCAAAGACCACAGCAAGAGGAAACAAAGAAGTTTATTTTATTGATTAAGAGTGGCAACGAGCAAGGCTATTTCAACCGCTGTACTTCAGGACAAGGCAGCATCATAAACAAACTAAATTTGGTATCGCCTACCGGAACTTAGAAGATGGACCAAGCGGTGCAGCAGCACTTACAGCGTTCTGAGACTTCCCAGACCCCGGAAGGCCAGGCGATCCAGGCGCTTCAGGTGCAGGTTTCCATTCAGCTGCCTGTCAGAGAAACACAGCGTCCTAAGAAGTGTACGAAACTGTCGAATGGAATGTAGTACAGGGTGATCAGATTCAATGATTCGTAAGGTATCTGTTGCTTACATACTTTTCCTAACATGGGACATCAAAATAAAAATTGGTCATGACCATTGGACATCGGCAATGAAAGAGTTGGCGATCAGCAATGAAAACGGTTAAAACAGTGATGACAGCGGTGACTTGCCAGGAAGTGGCAGAGTTCACCACACACACACACACACACACACACACACACACACACACACACACACACACACACACACACACACACACACACACACACACACACACACACACACACACACACACACACACACACACACATATATATATATATATATATATATAGATATAGATATATATATATATATATATATATATATATATATATATATATATATATATATATATAAATGCATAGTTCTCTTTTACCTCGTGCGGGCCAAGCAGGCCACCGTGACATTTTAGGACCCATTGGAATCATTTAGACGGACGAGTTATCTAACAAATTTTACTGCCTGAATGCAACTTTGATGAGGATGCGAGCTTTGAGAATGGCCAACGGCGCACTGAAAAACAAAACACACTGCCAGTAATGTGTCCTTGCTGCCCTTTCTTAATCAATTGTTTGGGTCTTGTATATATATTCGTACTTCCGCCCGGCTTTACAGCCACGGCGAGCCCAAAAACATATAGCAGGACTGTTTTGAGCCATTGGCGGAGGCGGCGTCGTGACAGCGTGGCGTTGGGGTAGAGAGGGATGCAGAAACATTGATACCGAGAAGGGCGTTACGACGCAAAAGTGGCGTTTGTCCCTCTTGGGATATTATTCCTTTAACCTGCGGACATTACCCCGCATCATTAGTAGGTGCAGCATGTACGAAGTTGATAGGGAACACGCATTGTTATTGCCCTGTTGGGTTGCTTGCAGATTTTGTCAGCTGTCATTTCCCCATATCCATTACGGACACACAGCAGTTTGCACAAGGCATCTCGGTCTGCACGACTAAAGGACTATTACCAGGACTGGTAATAGCTGACCATCCACGCCTACGTGTCTCGCCAAAACGGGTCTGTTCCCATCCTGCCAGTAAGCAAGTCGAAGATGCATATTCTGTGTGAAGATGCACGCACACTTGGCTGCCAGAGCTCGCACTCACAGTGTCCCAATGCGAGACCCGTTGAACGCCCAGTCTGAGATGGACTCCAGTTGACTGTTCGCAAGAGACCTGAAACAAACGAGACAAATCGATCAATACTGATCAACTGTCCGTCCGGTGGCTTAGTTGGTTAGAGCGCCTGCCTCCCGATCCACCCACCCGTGGCGGGGTGGGCTCGAGTCGCTTTAGGGCGCTCGCTATTTGCCCTTGACAGGTATGGCCTGCGGCCGGTGGCAACGGCCGCGCTAAAGGTCAGTTGACGTCAGAGGGCAGGACGGACCGTGCCAAGCATTGCGGCACGTTAAGCTTTCGCCACAAAATTCTGCCGTTGACATGGAATTGCGCGATCGGATGGTAGGGGTCAGGGCTCACACAACAAGCACTGCTTAGCGTGAGCTCTGATCCCGGAAATCCATCCATTCAAAGGGTTCGGATCAAATCTGTAAAAAACTGCGACCTGCTGGCGTCTGAATGTTGTGGACCAGCTTGCTATAAGGAGGTGCCGCAGTACCCGGAATGGAACACAGACTTGCGAACGCCGTTATTGAGGCGAACGTCGTGCTGAAAGCAGCCGCGATAAAGCCGGTAAGTTATTGCGTGCAGCGTGACATTTGAAGATTGGCTGTTTTCAAGACGTTTGTAGCTGGCGTTGCTACAAAATACCCTTCACCATGGTCGCCAGTTTATCGCAACAGCAAACAACGACTTCTTCGACTGAGATAGCCAGCCAGTGTCTCACATCCGTGAAATATGAGCCCCGGTGCATAAATCTCCGTATGTGCCGAGTATGAGACCGCCATGAGTGGCGTCTTCCCGGGCAGCGCACCGAGTAATATCCGTCTGAGAGGTCCGCACATGAGCCGAGCCTCGCCCACCACGGCGTGATTACCTCTGGGCGCCCGGCACCTCACCGTTCTCCGCGATGGACACCACCCCACCCCTGACCTGAGCGCTGCACGCGCCGGCCGCGGCTAGCCACCTCCCCGGGCAGTGGCCGCTCATGCGTGCTACTCCGTCAGCACGGCTGCGGGGCTCGCTGCCAGGGGCCGCAACGGCAGCCGGCCAGCGCCAGCACTACCTGTGCTCTGCGCTGTCGCAGACGAACGTCCGCCGACGGCGGTAACTAGCCGCGCAGATCACCTCCGCCCGAAAATCCCGGCCGACATCGCCATGTGTGGCATGAGTGGTGCCTCCGTCTGTTATACCAGGGCTCAACGACGGTCCGAAAAGTTCAAACGTATTATGACTAAGCCAGCATCAACCGGAGTATGGATGGGGGAGGCTAGCATGGATTTACTGGGAGACGTTATAATGGCAACTTCCCTATCTCTTGAACCATTGAAATGATTTTGCCAATTTTAAGAGCATCAGCAACCCTGGATCATCTGGCGCAGAAAGCGTCGTTTTCAGACCACAACGCCGCTGGCAGTGTCGAGACTCAGATGAAGTCGGGCTGAAAGCTTTAGAAACATTTGTGACCACTCGCTGCCCGAAGGCAAACCGTCAATCTAAATTCTGCCCACTCCTTATCCCAAAAGAACGATAGCCTACTAAGCTACAACTAAGAGCCTACTAAGCTACAGAAGCGTACGCCATGGGGAGAATTTGCATGGCATTACCCACTATGATAGCCATTCACGGTGCAAGAGCTCCCAGGTGGCACGAAGGCATGGGTCGCAAAATAAATGTGTCGCGTGATGATGGGTCTTTCACGGGACAGGTAAAGCAGCTTTTCGTGAGAGGGGAAGGCTACACTGTTTGAGGGGGGTGGGGCTAAGACGTGGCGCAGAAGATGCAGCTCCAGATCTTGGCCAATAGCCGCCTCAGCAGTCACGACCATTCTTCGTTCTAGCTCTGTCTGCGACACGACGCATTGTGGTATGACGGACAGCAGGGGAATCAAAGAAAACGAATGAAGAACAACAAACAATGAAGTCAGAATTCCCGAGGAACATCTGCACCAGATCGTAAAAAGCCTCTTGCGAGGCGCCTCAAAAGTCTGGAATTAGCCTCAGAAGTGCCAAGTCGTCCTCCTGCGCAAGCACCTGTCAATCTGGGGTGCTGAAACGGTACGGTCACGATCAGGTCACGGTCTCACGGTCGGTCACGATACGGTCACGATCTCCCGCCTTAGAATATGTTGCTGGCCGCGGTGCTGCTCCCCGGCGGCACGCCTCATACACTGGTAAGATTCTGGAACTCCTGATCGTTCTGGCGAGATGCTGGAACTCCTGATCGTACTAGCGAGATGTTGGAACTCCTGATCGTACTAGCGAGATGCTGGAACTCCTGACCGTACTAGCGAGATGCTGGCACTCCTGGTCGTACTAGCGTTCCCAATCCCTCGGGGTCATCCCGCGATGTGCAGACGAAACGGCTCATGTCAATACCCTGCGGGCTCAACTTGCCAGTTTTGGATGCCCAACCGTTCAAAAAAAAAAAAAAATCCCTTAGCCACATTTCGGCAATGGACGAAGCCTGTTGTGCCCACCACTTCCTGGAATCAGATGGCATGTTAAGAGCGCCTGGTGGGGTTCGGGGTATATCAATGCTTATCCGGGCTAGTGTTCTCTTGTGTCGACAAACTAATGTCCTGTGCTGTTTTACTCGAACTTGCACGTTCATGTGCATGGCCTGGATTAGCACTAAAACGCACGAGGCATTCACGAAACGAGATCAAGACATTACGTGCATTGCTTGCATCAGTCGATGCTGCTTTGCCCGCAGAAAGTGGCAGTAGGCTAATAGTGTGGTCTTACTTTTTACTTTTGCTGAGCACGGTTGGTCATGGGTGAGGTTTCCGAAAATATGTTGCGCTAGTGGGTGAGGACCGAGCAAGGAAGGATTGCTAAAACTATGACCTGCGTCTTCTTTAATCGTTTTCTTCCGAATTTGGCTGACTTCCTTTTTAAAATAGTAGGGGGTGGGGGGTGAACCACTTCATTTGAATAGAAAGCTACATAGGGGGGCTGTGGCGCCCCTTTAAGGTATTGGAATAAGCATGCGATATAATAGCATAAGCTCACTTATAACCATAGGCATACTTCTGAGAGGACAAGACTGTTCTACACAACGCAACTTCTCTGTTCAGTAAATATGCCCCTCAAAAGATCATTGTGTGATTACGTCGCAGTATTCCACACCACATTGATTGAGGACCAATTGACGACCATTATATCCGAAAATCGTCCTCACCAACGCCAGATATTAACGACTCGGCAATCTTATTTTTCCTGGCCCTAATCGTCGCATGGCTAATGGAGCGGCAGGATTTGAATGACATGCCTAATGGTCATGCCAACGTCATGACCATTAGGCATGCCGTAAATGCGACATGGATTTATACGTCATGGATGCCTATCAATGCGTCATAAATGCGTCATAAATGCCTGGGTGAAAAATAAAATGGTTCAAAGGATCTCCCCAAAATGGTCCGCACATCATTGTGGGCATGAAGCTCAGGAACTGCCGGGGCTTAGGCCTCAAGAAAGGCAAGACTTTGAACTGCACCAAATGATCTTCAAGATGGCTATTTCAGTGAAAAACTCCATATAAATGTCACATGTCAAATGCAGACGTCAAAATGTGTAACGCTCTCTTTACAGAGAATATCAAAGATTAAAATCTACTGAGGCAAGCATCACGTATGATGGAAAAACCTCACTCGTAACTACCAATTGGTGCGCTTTGATATTGGTGTGCAAATGACTCTTCTAGATAACAAAACCTCACCATTTCGTAGAAATTCTCTCCTCAATACGTTATTGTTTGATTGCGTCATGGAGCGTATTAGGACGTAAGGGTCACTGCCAGACAGCCCGTGTCAGAATTGTCACTGTAACGGACGGGCTGACTGACTTGTAGTGCTTAAAATTAAACTGGCCGCAACAAGGTAGGTTTAAGGTGTGAAAACACCGACCACCATTATTTGCGCGTATTTGGAACCGTCCTCATTATGACCTTATATATATTTTTTCCGTGATGACATTTTGTTACCTGGTATGCATTTTCGGTTACGGCACTATTGTTAAATTATCCGAATCCAAGCCTCATGTCCGTCATAACGAGCAGAACTTCCCAAATATCTGCACTATGTATGACAAAACGCTGTTGGTCATCGACCTAACGTAAGCTAGTTGAAAGCCAACCGGTGTCCGTTGATACAAGGCGTGCTGCCGCACTTCGGACACGGATAAGTTCGTGGCCCTATTTCCCTTGACCTTGAACACCAGGTCGCCGCGGAGCTGGCGTCGGACCAGGGGCTGCAGGGGGCCCCTGGACCCCTATTACTGAGCCGCTGCGCCTGGGTGCAACCGCTGGCAACTTGACGCATGCCTCAAAGCTCGGCGAGCTGCAGGTGGGGCTTACACTGCGATCTGGGAAATCAGAGGTACGGGGTTCGATTCCCCGCGGTTTCCGCCCTTTATACCGGGATGGGAGGCAGGTGACGTCATATAGCCTCGGCAGCTGAGTGTGCCGTTAAGTCCTAATGACGACGGCGACGAGCTGCAGATGCCGCCGATGAGCCGGGATGACTCATACACGGCCAGCGGCGCTCGCAGAACGCCGGTAATCAAGGTGTCCCGGCAGACGGTGAACTGGCCCGCGGAAAACCAGAGTAGCCACACGTGCCTGCCCTGGACTTGGCGGATGTTACGCCACATTAGCCGGGCTGCTCGTCGGAACGGACGCCCTGCAGCGGATAGTGCCGTTGGAAGTACGCCAGGGACCTATCGGTGCCCCCAGGCGGTGAAAACCCAGCCTCGATTGGGTAACAGCCGGAAAGCTTTCCGATCGTTACCCACGAGCGCCGTGTGCCATCTGTGAAGGTGGGACCTGAATCCGCGTGACCGGTGACTCGGAGCTGCACGAGCGAAGCGCGAGGATAACGTTCCGAGTCCTTACGGAGTCCTCGCGGGGTCCTTGCGGGCGAAGTACACCCACGCGTCCCGGCGGTCCCAGTAGGGTAACGTTGGGCGAGACGCGCCGCGCGGCACTTCTTGGTGCGCCGGCGAGCGCCCCGAGACCGATCCGCTGTGGACGCCACCGACTGTGCCAGTAACTTAGGTAACGTGCCGCCCAGACCCCGCTATGCGTCACCGACTGTGCCAACAACTTAGGTAACGTGCCGCCCAGACCCCGCTATACGTCACCGACTGTGCCAGCAACTTAGGCAACGTGCCGCCCAGACCCCGCTATGCGTCACCGACTGTGCCAGCAACTTAGGTAACGTGCCGCCCAGACCCCGCTATACGTCACCGACTGTGCCAACAACTTAGGTAACGTGCCGCCCAGACCCCGCTATGCGTCATCGACTGTGCCAGTAACTTAGGTAACGTGCCGCCCAGACCCCGCTATACGTCACCGACTGTGCCAACAACTTAGGTAACGTGTCGCCCAGACCCCGCTATGCGTCACCGACTGTGCCAGCAACTTAGGTAACGTGCCGCCCAGACCCCGCTACACGGCAGGCGAGCTGGACCAAAGGCGAAGCTGGCGCGGGCGTGCGACGGTACCGTTCGAGGACACATCCATGAAGGTTAGGCGCGTCACCTGCAGCCACCGGAGCGGAGAACGCGACACAAGCATGAGCGGCATCTGCCGCACCACGCCATCGCCAAGACGCAGCCAGAGCGCACCGGACCCCGAACCGCTCCAGAGCGTCCCAAGTCGAGGCCGTAACAACGTCCCAAGTCGAGGCGGTAACGGCGCCCCAATTCGGGGCCGCAACAGCGTCCCAAGTCGAGGCCGCAACAACGCCCCAAGTCGAGGCCGCAACAGCGTCCCAAGTCGAGGCCGCAACAGCGTCCCAAGTCGAGGCCGCAACAGCGTCCCAAGTCGAGGTCGCAACAACGCCCCAAGTCGAGACCGTAACAGCGTCCCAAGTCGGGGCCGCAGCAGCGTCCCAAGTCGGGGCCGCAACAACGCCCCAAGTCGAGGCCGCAGCAGCGTCCCAAGTCGGGGCCGCAGCCGAGGCTCGGACGGCACATGGCACCAGGGAGGCACTCCGCTTGACTGAAATCCTGCGGACGACGGCACGGGTCCTCCGCTTTGGCACCAGCTGTCAGACCGTTCGCAGTGAGCACCATACACAGTGGCGCGTCTTCAAACGCCGTGTGCGTACGGTTAAACAATACAAATAACACTGCCGTCCGCTTATGCAATATTTCCGCCAACTCTTGTAACAATGACGTTTGGTTAGGTGCCGTGTGCCCGTCGGATCGTGACATGTCCAGTAGTGCATGAAAATATACATCGTCACTGCGCCAGTAGCCGTCTGTTGTTGCCACCTACCCTTAACCAGGCACGACCACAGTTCCCAAAAACGCATGTCCAAACTCGTTTTTAAACACATTTTTCCCGAGCATCACCATTCTGGTAACGCTCAATTTTCCGGGAAAGTGAGAAGAGTGGACCATGTCACACCCGCCCGCTCCCTTCCAGTGGCCATGCCTGTACCGGTGAGCCGCTGCACAGGACCGGCGCCTTGACACGCCACCGCACCGCCACAGCCCTAACATGTACTGCGTTGCTCGTTATATAAGTGATATCTGCCGTGCATGCTGCGCATGCCCTGCATATATATATATATATATATATATATATATATATATATATATATATATATATATATATGTAATAAAGATAGCCAACTACAAATTCAAACAAATCGTGATCGAGAAGGCATACTTTGCACTTTCCATTTCAATTCATTTTCACGGCCTGATTCGATGCCATATCGGCATCGAATGACGTCAAGGTGCTGATAAAAGTAAATAATTTTAGCTGTAAAGTAGCGCTGCGTGGGCCAACTGGAAACGCTATCAGTGGATCTCATCGGCACTGTCCGGTGTATTGGATTTACCCATGGCTTCGGCAGAAGCCTGGCTATCGCATTCAGTGGAGTTACAACAATGCAGTAGCCCTTATCAGCACACGCCAATACGGAACCACCCCGGCCGACGACCTTTGCCAAATCCCTGGTATCCAAAAGGAACGTCTTGCATTTATGCTTTGCATAGATCTGCATCGCTGCGAAACATTAATGTCATCGTTGTTCAGGGGACAGGGTTTTACATCCTCCGCTTCCACTGCCGAAACACGTACGAAACATGTTCTTAATGATATATATATATATATATATATATATATATATATATATATATATATATATTGATTTCACCAATTTGATTTCACACACATATATATATATATATATATATATATATATATATATATACATATATATATATATATCACCTGCCCCATTCTTCGATATCATTATCGGCAAGTAATCAGCAACGAAGGCATGACAATGGCCAGCTTGTTGGTCTGTCTGCATACTAACTTCATCTCATCTCCGTCGCACCATACTGACTTCAAGCCGCTTCCACCATCAAAAGCCAAGCTATTGGTCCCGTGCGCTGTGCTCGCGCCGAATTGCGCCCCCAAATGCCTCTCACAGCGCTGGGGCGATATGACCAGACAATCATGGGACGCGTGCCCTGGGCGGGATGCTCGTCGACCGGCGCATATGCACGTGCCGGGGGCGCGCTCCGCACTCCACGCCGTCCGGCACCGGCGCGTGCTGCATGCCAACTTTCACTGGATGGCCCTCTGGGTCGGTCGGCCGACGTCAGAAGGCCGACGATCAGTGTCGCGTCCGGAGAGGGCCGGCGATCAGTGTCGCGTCCGGAGAGGGCCGGCGACTAGTATCGCGTCCGGAGAAGGCCGACGATCAGTGTCGCGTCCGGAGAGGGCCGGCGATCAGTGTCGCGTCCGGAGAGGGCCGGCGACTAGTATCGCGTCCGGAGAAGGCTGACGATCAGTGTCGCGTCCGGAGAGGGCCGGCGATCAGTGTCGCGTCCGGAGAGGGCCGGCGATCAGTGTCGCGTCCGGAGAGGGCCGGCGACTAGTATCGCGTCCGGAGAAGGCTGACGATCAGTGTCGCGTCCGGAGAGGGCCTGCGACTAGTATCGCGTCCGGAGAAGGCTGACGATCAGTGTCGCGTCCGGAGAGGGCCGGCGATCAGTGTCGCGTCCGGAGAGGGCCGGCGATCAGTGTCGCGTCCGGAGAGGGCCGGCGACTAGTATCGCGTCCGGAGAAGGCTGACGATCAGTGTCGCGTCCGGAGAGGGCCGGCGACTAGTATCGCGTCCGGAGAAGGCCGACGATCAGTGTCGCGTCCGGAGAGGGCCGGCGACTAGTATCGCGTCCGGAGAAGGCCGACGATCAGTGTCGCGTCCGGAGAGGGCCGGCGATCAGTGTCGCGTCCGGAGAGGGCCGGCGACTAGTATCGCGTCCGGAGAAGGCTGACGATCAGTGTCGCGTCCGGAGAGGGCCGGCGACTAGTATCGCGTCCGGAGAAGGCTGACGATCAGTGTCGCGTCCGGAGAAGGCCGACGATCAGTGTCGCGTCCGGAGAGGGCCGACGATCAGTGTCGCGTCCGGAGAAGGCCGACGATCAGTGTCGCGTCCGGAGAGGGCCTGCGACTAGTATCGCGTCCGGAGAAGGCTGACGATCAGTGTCGCGTCCGGAGAAGGCCGACGATCAGTGTCGCGCCCGGAAACGGCCGAGCGATATCGGGTCTATGAGTCCATTCAGAGGTGTTCTTCGAAATTTTGGCACGTTGACAGCCTGCGCTGCAGTGGCGCTCCATGGCCGTCAGTTTCAACCCAACTCGCTCGCCACGAGTTGGGTCATGGACGCAGCACGTGTTCGTGGCAGTCGGCCGACGAGGGCCGCGCGGCGTACCGGTAATGGGCCAACTTCACTGAAACGAGTGCAAAGTTGCGCAATCTTGATTTGCGATGTTGCAGCGCAAAGGCGTACCAAAATAGCTCAGTATTCCATTGACTGAAAAGGTAGTCGAAATGAAGACACGCACACCGGTGGTCGTCTGGTATCTCTAGCCCTGTCTGTTTCCTTTCATTGCGCATGTCTTGACGGCGGAGAAGAAGGCGCACTTTCAATTAAGTACGGCTTGTGCCGTCTGAGTTGAGTGACACGAGCACGACCGATCTATACAGTGTCGCCGGCACAACACTCCCGCTCTCGACGTCTGGTGTCGCAGCTTGTTCTGAGTGAGCATAAGGGCTAGCCGCAGTCATCTCGGACACTTTAAATACGAATCAGCCACGGCTGCCCTGACGAGGGAAACTTATTGGCAAATAAATCCTCGTTAAAACGAGCGGGCGTGAGTTCAAGCTGCCGGCCACACCCCGCTCCCATCGGATCGGCGGGCCCGAGGCCACGTGGCGGGCGCCCAAGAACCTTCCCTAGCTGACGTCGGCAACAACTTTGGGTGCTTTTAAAAGAAACTAAAGACATGCATGCGTTGCAGCTGCTTTGATTAGGATCTGGCCACGTTACGAAGACAGCCTTAGGTCACGGAATCATGACACGAGCATGACGTAAGGACCAGGTTGGGAGTTCGTACTTCCATTATCCATGCATCTGACGATGCGGTGCAATCAGTACTTACAGCTGATCGGTGGTAATGTTAATGCTGTTACTTGGTAGTGACTTGATCCTATTTCCGTCCAGGTCACTGGAAAATGTGGTCATTATCAGTTTGATTCTTCTTGCACACAGCATGCGACAGGAGTTCAAGTTTGACAAGGTGATGACGTCGAATTGGTTTTTCAATAGGTAATGATAATGCTGCGCCATAAACATCTGGTCTGCGTGCATAACACATCTTAAGCACATATTGGTGTGCGACCATGAATATAGGACTTAATGGGATGAGTAAGTTTAGTTTAATAGTAAGTCCCGCTAACTTTCAACTTTGTTTTCCTCGCCCGGAACATTTTTATCCAGTCAGCAGCTTTTAGAGTCAACCAATCTCGGTCCCTGAAATACTGAGATATTCGCGGAGAGTACAAGCATCACATTTGAGCGCAAATAGCACGCTGGGGTAAAGCCAAAAATGGCAATATTTCACACACAAGCTCGTCTTTGACCTTGCGCTATTGGCTATAATGCAGTCATAATGGAAGCGCTATCAAGCGCTACCTGCCTCCATTTGGTACATAGAAGACAAAATTACTTGACGGAATCATTGCAGCATTATAGTTTGTCATGATTCGATAAAAAAAATCGTCATGAGTACTTCCGGTTAAGAAGAAAATGAGATGTCAGTTCTTTTAAAGCACGGATGATTAAGTACTTGCCGCAGGACGAAGGACAGAAGAAGCGTTTTTACCACAAGTTTTCTCCACGCAATTACTTAAATAATGAAGCCTTTGAGCATAACTTCAAATACAAATCTGAACATAAGAATAAACTCAGAGTACAAAAGCAGTTAACTATAGTGATGGCAATGTAAATCCTGTCGACAGAAAATCCTATGGCTTTCAGCCAAATACATAAAGCGATTAAAGCAATAGCCGCGAGAGACAAACACAGCAGAACGGTGCGGTACAGACGTTTTTACAGTACCACCAAATTCGGTACCTGACGCGAGGCATTTCACTTATATGGGGTCGACCGGGTGGTAAACTAGGAAAGGCCCTGGCAAAAGGAGGGGATGTATGACAAAGGGTCACGTGACAGCTTTTCACATATTCAACTTGGTCTGATGGGCCTCATCCCTTTGACAATCATCTTTGACGACGATTGATGGCGGACATTGGTGAGCTGGCAAACGAATCTCATTGCGAAGTCTGTTTCCAATGGAAGGCAGAGCTTTATCCCCAAAAGACGATGGGTATTGCTACATTTGAACTATCAGCCGTGTTTTTCAAAGAAGTCTTCCTTCTAACCAGCTTTAGGAGATGAAACTTTAATGAAATGAAATGAAGTACTCTGGACTTCACTTCTTTTCGTTAATTCAAATGCAAGTTCAATCCTTGCCTTCCACGTCGGTTAAAATTTCTACGGATAGTGCTACCAGCCCTCTGTTGTATTACAATTACTGACAACAGAAGCAGCTTCACGAGCCAGACTCAGGGTTCGGGGCTATATTTGTAGTCTGCCCGAGCTTCGTCCCCGGAAATAGATTACAAGAAGATTGGATATTCCTCGGACAGCTTTCATCAGTGGGAAAAGCTAGTGGGGTCATTTGTTCAGAAGGCCAAACCGACGATGACACATGTGACAATATTGTGCGCTCTAGGACGGATTCCGCCGTCAACGTCGGAGCTCTGCCTGACGTGCCCGTCTCTGGAGGACACGGCGGCGATCTCGCGTCAAAGCAGGCCCCGGCCGACTTTCCGCCGAGCCGTTGTCTCACACTGACCGCACGCGTGACCGCACGCACGCGTGACCGCACCGCACGCGTGACCGCACGCACGCGTGACCGCACGCACGCGGGACCGCACGACCTGTCGCTGGTCACTTCAGTCGAGGTGTGAACATTGGCGTCCTCCGACGTCACGGAATCATATGACTAATCGTGGTTATGCTCCTCCATCTGGAACTTGTCGTTGACAAAAAGTCAGGTTTGTTGGCTCGGTAAAGCTACCGACAGCAGTCGCCAAGATTTTGCTAACTACTTGAAACATTTATCTCCTGAACGCTTTACGTCCAGATGACTTGTATAGTTATGTCGCATGATGACACAATATAATCAACTTTATCGCAACCTTCGTCACCCTTCAATGCAAACAAGACACTAGGACGCCCATTGCATATCAATTCAACTCATGCAAACAAATACTTTCCCCCCTCCGCGAAATCATCGACGTTTTCCGCCCCGGCTGAACTGGCCTGAACCGCGCACGCACGAACGTTCCGGACAGCGGCGGTGGCTGGTGTTCCGCTCACATCATGTGCAGGATGGTACCCGTCTGCAGGCGGGACAGGTCGGGCATGCCCTCCAGACCGGTGCCCACCAGCCGCCTGGAAAGCAGCCAAGGGTCGGCCCGGTCAGCCCGTCATGCTGCCGACATCTCGCGCCGACAGCTCGCCGACACAGCCCGACAGGCCGCGGCTCGCGTCGACGGGGCGGTGACAGCCGCCGGGCCCCCGGCGGCCAGCAGTGCTTCCGGCTCACGGCTCGAAACGGCGCCGGTGATCTCGGCCGAGTGCTGTCAGACCACGTAAGCGTCGGTGGTCGGACTCTCGGAAGCTGAGGAGCTGACCTGAGAGCAGCTGACGTGTGCCTCAGAACACATTGACAGGGTCAAGATCAGACTCTGGCCAACTCAGCCCCGCTGATGCTGGTTTCTGGACGGAACGAGTGGCCGCGGCGGAGAGCAGTAGCGTTGACGTCTGTCTCGGCGGCGGTACTCACAGCGAGCAGAGTGCTGGTAGGTCAGCGGTACTCACAGCGAATAGAGCGGCGGCAGGTCAGCGGTACTCACAGCGAGCAGAGCGGCGGCAGGTCAGCGGCACTCACAGCGAGCGGAGCGGCGGCAGGTTGGCGGTACTCACAGCGAGCGGAGCGGCGGCGGGTCAGCGGTAGTCACAGCGAGCGGAGCAGCGGCAGGTCAGCGGTACTCACAGCGCGGTACTCACAGCGAGCGGAGCGGCGGCAGGTTGGCGGTACTCACAGCGAGCGGAGCGCTGGCAGGTCGGCGGTACTCGCAGCGCGGTATTCACGGCGAGCGGAGCGGCGGCAGGTCAGCGGTACTCACAGCGAGCGGAGCGGCGGCAGGTTGGCGGTACTCACAGCGAGCGGAGCGCTGGCAGGTCGGCGGTACCCGCAGCACGGTACTCACAGCGAGCGGAGCGGCGGCAGGTTGGCGGTACTCACAGCAAGCAGAGCGGCGGCAGGTCGATGGTACTCACAGCGAGCGGAGCGCCGGCAGGTCGGCGGCACTCACAGCAAGCGGAGGGCTGGCGGGTCGGCGGTACACACAGCGAGCGGAGCGCCGGCAGGTCGGTGGAACTCACAGCGCGGTACTCATAGCGAGCGGAGCGCCGGCAGGTCGGCGGTACTCACAGCGAGTGGAGCGGCAGCAGGTCGGCGGTACTCACAGCGAGCGGAGCGCCGGCAGGTCGTACCATGCTCGCGGGCTGACAGACTCCAGACTGGGCGCGTGTTGGACGTATCTGGAGCGGCCGGCAAGAGCGTCAGATTGCTTCAGCCAACTTCCAACCGTGACTACCACATGGAAACTGCACCCGAAATGAATGAACGGTACCCATGCCACAGCTCGACTACATATCCAGCCTGTGGAACCAGCCCATCCAACCAATCCAACCTTTCAATGTCGCGCCGGGTAAACTGATCGTCTAATCATCCCCATCAACACCGAACCCCGGGACAAGGTCATCACCGACAGCCGTCAATCGTGACACGAAGGATCGAACGTCCACCTGCCCCGCGTCAACACGAGTGCAAGGAATAGCGTGCCTGTTACACTCGACTAGCTTCAGCGAGTCTTGTTTTCACTGCCAAACAAAGCAAGGAACTTGGAAGGTGGCATATCACTCAGCATCGAAATTCGGCTTCAGCGCCATCGGTCAAACCTTGCTTCGCATTATCAACATTAGCATCGTCTCGGAAACCGTGTCCGCTAGCTGCAAAAGTGACGCTATAAGACCACTTTATAAAACGAGCGACCCGTCCGCAGCATCGAACCGATCACACTGTTTCCAGTCATATGTAACCTAATGGGAAAATTCGCTCACCAACAATTCACGTCTGCACTAAAGCCTTTTTAGCGCTGACCAGCACGGATGGATGGATCATCACTCAACCTGTACCGTTCCTTTAAGTTTTGCGGAAGAAATTTTGCATAGCATGGACCGATCCCAAGTGACGCTTCTTTTAATTATAGACCTAAGCCGTCGTTTTGGTGTGTTGGGGCACTTTCCCTTCTTATGAAGCTCCAGCTGCTCCAGAATTCCACCGGATGGTTTGAGAGCTATCTGGAGGGCTACACGCAGCGAGTGAGAGTGGGCGGAATGTTTTCTAGTACTTGTCAGGGCTCCTACCTTGTCCCTTTGTTATTCAACATGCCCAGCAATAACCTCGCTTGCCACACACCGCCTGAAATCAACGACTCCCGTGTAACGGTAGCCCGTTACGCTGAGGACAGACAGCTCGTCGTCACATGACCACGGATGAGGCAGTCAGGTCTGCGTTAGTCCTTGGGGACAGTCCTGGACATAATGCAAAGACACATGGTTTCTCCAGCATGCATAGCGGTCGACACTGCGAGACGAAACATTTACTCTGACGACATATTTACTCGACGAAGCATTTGTTATGTGGAGACAAGTGCCAGCTCAACCAGACCCGTCCATCACCCACCGTCGTGCATATAGAGATGTCTCTTCGATGCCCAGATAATGTGAACAGTTTAGGTGTGGCCATGGATCGCGCATCGCCCTGGGAACTGCGCGTAAGCCACGTCACTTGGCGGTCATTTGGCACCATTGCCGCTCTCCTAAATGTCAAACCCGTGTTGCCTGCCAATGTTCTGCATCATTGACGCGTTTCTCTTCCCCATGGCCGTTGCCCTCAGGTTTATCGGAGCTTGAACAGCACGACTGTTGCCAATTTGCCGACAGCGTTGAACTTCGCAGCTGGCGTGATCTACGGACGCCGGTAAATTTTCCAATGTGTCGGATGTTTTACGACAGGTTGGCTGGCGCAGTGGCCGAAGGTTTCTGATATCCTCGACACGTGGGTTTTACACAAATTATTGACCAGCGGGGAACCGGAGACTTTACGTTCTCAGCTCCCCAACAGCCATGAAGACACCGAGTGCAGTACGCGTTAATCTGGCCATTTATGTGTCTCTCGCTCCAAGAGCACGCGTGGACAGGGAGCATCCCATCGATCTCCGCATGTGTACAACGAGCGTGTTATCAGCAGCGACGTTGCGGACTTGGCTTTTTCTTTTTTCGAAGATTCGTGTCCACGACATGATTTCAAGTACCTGACACCTTGCTCCTTTTGTATATTTCTCTTTGTGACGCATTTAGGCTTGTTGCGTGGAGAATGTCGCTGTGCTTTCCGACGAAGGTCTTGGAATAGCACAGTTAAGTCGATGAACTAATGAAGTGCAATGAAAGGCAATGTGATGCGCCCATCTCTTCTCGATGTGATACGTTGTTTGTAATAAAAAGGCCCAGGGAACAAATGGAATTTATTTTCTGTCTTATATATATATATATATATATATATATATATATATATATATATATATATATATATATATATTTATATGCGGGTTGAAGACTCCATCTTCATGCTGAGTTCAGAAAGCACAGTTATTTCAATAAATTCCCGTTGCTAGGCTTTTGGTTGGTCTCGCTCTCGTGCTCGGTGCTCGGCGCCCTGCCCGGTCCACAGACGATGTGCTGGAATAGTCCAGAACGGGACAACACGTCTGCGTAATCCTTCTGAACGTGTTAAGTCCAGTCCAGTCCAGTCCCATCAAGTCCAGTCTGCTCCCTTCCCTAGATCTGGGGCTGCAGCGGTAGCAAGCAATTTTGGTATGTATTTAAAAAAGTTATTAAAGGCCTCTGACACGAAATTCTTCGTTATAAACATATTCGCAAGTCTGTGTTGAAAACCAGCTAGGGCACTTTGCAAATGGCTGGAGGCGGCTTTTGACAACGATATGGTCACAGGAATAGCACGTGTGTTGGTTCCCAGCCTTCTTTGACATACGCGGCTGTTCGATTTGGTGCGTGTCATACGTGTGCTGTGTAAAAAAACACGTTAAAATATTTTGATTAGGTGGAAATAACCAGTGCAGTTGACACGCCCTTAAAACTCGATAACTAAGTCTTCCGACAGCCCACTGCGTGTAACAGTCTTGGTTGTGCCGTTGGCTGAGCCAAAACAGACTACGTGCAATGGCGGTACCAACTGCACCATAGTCACGTTTTCTCTCGCCAGCCAGGACGGGCCGAGATTTGCAAGCAGAAGCTGACTGATTTACGAGCCGTTTGGAGCTGGATAATGCCGTGTGTTTCATGGGGTGATAGGCAATGTCTGAGCGATGAACGTACTAGGGCATCAGTCGTCTGCTTTGGCGTTCAAGGAGACATGGAAGAAGGCTTCTGACATATTTCGCTATTAGTTTTATATCACTATGTGGCTGGCAGTTAAGTCGCCTGACAATGACTGCATCGAAACTCACTGTCAGAAAAAGTAGGGCAATGATCAACTATAGTCCTATGATGGCAAACTTTATCTTAAAAAAATCGGAGACGAGCTTTTAACCCTGGGCCTTCCCTGGTCATGAAATTGAACAAAACCCCTGTCAAACATTTAATTCGCGTGTTCAAAAACAAACAAAAAAAAAACAGCCGCACCGGCGGCGGTGATACGGGTCAAATATTAGGACAGGACGCTACGCGGTCGTCACGTGCTCCTCAACGAGCCACGGGCAGCGATGAAGCAAAGATCGCGCTGCATGATCATCTAGATTCGCTGTTATTTAAATTTGCTCTGAAAGTTTTAGCTACCGACTAGTGGCCTTCTTGTGTGCTGAACTGCTGACACCTCCGGTTTTTCATTTTCAATTTGTTGATATTTTTCCGCCATTGGGTTTTACGGAGCAGTCAATACATGGACAGGGCTAAGAACGTAATCATGCACCAAAATAAAGACGGAGCGCCTACTTGGGCTCACATCCTCGACCCGCATATATGCCATCGCCCGCCCTACTGACCCCTGGGTCAGTAGGGCGGGCGACCCCTGGACAGCCCTACTGACCCCTGGGTCAGTAGGGCTGTCCAGGTTTCCTCTCCCCCTTCCCCAGGCGCCCAAATGACCAGACCCCCGGTGCCCTCTCCCCCTCCTCCCGGCCGCTCAAAGTAAGAACTCAGGTCAGATTGTTTTAATATGTTGCTCGATTAGATACAGGCCGTGACACATCGTGGCAATCTCTTCTAGGACAGTGCGACGGTAAGCAGATGACAAGAGTCGCCGCGCAACAGCCAGGAGGGCGTGGGCCAGCTCCAGCTCGGCCGCGTCGGCGGGGTGCGAGTTAAACGTGACGCTACGGGGGCGGAGCAGGCTCGACGGCGCGTCCCGGCCAGTAGGGATGAGCGGGGCGCGGTCCGCGATCACTGCGGTACGGCCCTAGTCATTTATCTGATGCTTAGGCAGCAGAAGGCATCGCGAGCAGAAGGGACGCCATCGCGACGACGGAAGCAGTTGACGATCGAGCTGTCTAATGAATGACTTTTTTGGGAATGGTTGACGCGGGCAGTTGGGATCACCTAACATTCGCATCTAATGATCGACTTTTTGGGAATGGTTGAGGCGGGCAGTTGGGATCACTTAACATTCGCATCTGAGTCTTAATGACATTAATTTCCTTCCCGCCCCGGCAAAACCAGTCAACCGCATGACTGAATGCTGTCTTTAGCTGTGAACTAGTTCCAGTCAGATGCTCTGGTTGCGGTCGGCTGTACACAGTTGAGGTTTGCACTTGAACGGTGATGAAGTCATCTGCGTAAAGGTTGATTTCGGCAGTACAAATCAATGATATCCAAGAGGCCAACGGCCAGCACGGAAGACTCCGACGGTATTCGGTAGGTATTTGGACAAGAGCGTTGTCCCGTCCCTTCTAGTAGCCCTAACCTATTGGGCATGACCTCGCATGTTCTTGTACAGTTCATGTGTGCCAACACTTGAAACCCTGAACTTGTTAAGCGATTTCACATGCTTAATAACATCGAAATATTCGGACAGGTCATGCAGAACCATTATCGATATTTTCCCCTAGCTTATTGTGCGGTCCACTCTGTGATAGCAGTGAGAACGGTTTCGGTTCGCTGGAACTGATGTATCGGTGCTGATTTATAGAAATATCATTGGTGTTCCAGAAGGTGAATCGAAATTACGTCAAGCATGAAGAAAACCTCAGGCAAGCAACGTTTGCTACGTCCACCTTTCTCAAACCGGTGATTAAAAAGTGTATGAAAACGTTTTTATCCTGCGCACTCCTAATCTTAAGAGCGAGGACACCAATGGCCGGGGTTGCGAGTTCCGTTGAGCGGAGCGGCGTTGGCCGCTGCAGCTAACACCGGGCGGCGGGCAGCGGGTACCAGAGCAGAGCGGCGTTGGCCGCTGCAGCTAACACCGGGCGGCGGGCAGCGGGTACCGGAGCAGAACGGCATTGGCCGCTGCAGCTAACACCGGGCAGCGGGCAGCGGGCACCAGAGCAGAGCGGCGTTGGCCGCTGCAGCTAACACCGGGCGGCGGGTAGCGGGTACCAGAGCAGAACGGCGTTGGCCGCTGCAGCTAACACCGGGCAGCGGGCAGCGGGCACCAGAGCAGAGCGGCGTTGGCCGCTGCAGCTAACACCGGGCGGCGGGCAGCGGGTACCAGAGCAGAACGGCGTTGGCCGCTGCAGCTAACACCGGGCAGCGGGCAGCGGGCACCAGAGCAGAGCGGCGTTGGCCACTGCAGCTAACACCGGGTGGCGGGCGGCGGGCACCAGAAAGCGGCCGTCGTGAAATAATGCCCCCAGGGTGTTTCGAAATGCATTTGTGTTGTTCAACGTTTACATTGGGACGTACATTTAAGCTGTATAATTTTAGGCTGCACCTTGAACAGATTTATATACAGCAGCGCAACAAATAGAGATGATTCCTTTACTTTTCCAGTTTTACGGCCAGTTTGCAGCACCAATACCAGAAACCGAAGAAAATCGTGCCCTCTCTAGATCAAATGAGAAAAATCGTTGTAATTTTTGCGGGGGGTCTTGACTGGCAAAGCGCCATTTGTCCTCCTTGTCACCCCCGCCCCTCCTTGCCAATACTGGGCGCTGCCTTGCATTGAGGGTACGGAATACAACAACATTTAGTCTGCTATACGCGCACTGAAATCATTACCAAAAACACAACTAACAGACTACCAAAAGTGATAAAAATCCGTAAATGAAGGACAAACATGTTTAATCAAACCACCATTCATCAGCAGGAATAGAGCACCAATTTTATATATCTTGGGAGATCGTAAAGCTAACGACAGGGTGGCTTTCCTTCGGGCATGCGATGAAAGAAAGTCGTATGCCAGCATGGGCTGACTAGATGTGAAACGGACAACTGTCGGCTTTGCTTCTGACGCCAGCTTCCGAAATTGAATGAACGTTCTTTATGACGGGACTCCTACCCGCTCATCGATCTCGTCAGTTCTAATTAACTGCAGTCTCCCTGATGAATAAACAACAGAGTGTGGGCTTAGTCAAGGCTGTCTAAGCCGGCTACTTTTCCTTGCCTACTTAATTTCCTCGCGCTGCCGTTGGTCATACAGCACTCTGACAGTGCTACAGGTCGCAGGAGCCCGCACGTCCAGTGCTACAGGTCGCATGAGCCTCCACGTCAGGTGCCTCAGGTCGCAGGAGCCCCCACGTCCAGTGCTACAGGCCGCATGAGTCCCAACGTCAGGTGCTACAGGTCGCAGGAGCTCCCACGTCCAGTGCTACAGACCGCAGGAGCCCCCACGCCAGGTGCTACAGGCCGCAAGAGCTTTCAATTCCAGTGCGCAGAAGCCCCACATCTAGTGTTACAGGCCGCGGGAGCTCTCACGTCTGGTGCTACAGGCCGCACAAGCCCCCACTTGCAGTGCTGCAGGCCGCGGGAGCCCCCACGTCAGGTGCTGCAGGTCGCAGGAGCTCTCACACCCAGTGCTGCAGGCCGCGGGAGCCCCACGTCAGGTGCTGCAAGTCGCAGGAACTCTCACACCCAGTGCCGCAGGCCGCGAGAGCCCCCACGTCAGGTTCTGCAGGTCGCAGGAGCTCTCACACCCAGTGCTGCAGGCCGCGGGAGCCCCACGTCAGGTGCTGCAGGTCGCAGGAGCTCTCACACCCAGTGCTGCAGGCCGCGGGAGCCCCACGTCCAGTGCTACAGACCGCGGGAGCTCTCACACCCAGTGCTGCACGCCACGGGGGCACCTACGTCAGGTGCTGCAGGTCGCAGGAGCTCTCACACCCAGTGCTGCAGGCCACGGGAGCCCCCACGTCCAGTGCTACAGACCGCGGTAGCTCTCACACCCAGTGCTGCAGGCCGCGGGAGCCCCCACGTCAGGTGCTACAGGCTGCAGGAGCTCTCGCGTGGGCCGGCGCGGCAGCCTCAGCGGCTGATGGCGGCGTGGCGCGTCACGGCAGTCGGTTTGCTCGTACCCACTCTCACGGAGCGGTCGTTGATTGCGTCGGGCATCGCACTCGGTGTGATAGCCGCGACCTTTTCGAGAACGGACGATGGGCCTGAGCACACGGCCGACTGGGCTGGGCCCAGCCTCGGCCAGCGACCGCTGCAGATGCGACGCACTGCTGCGCACTGAAGAGCTGGCGCTCCGCCACGCGGCACGCTCTGTTGACCGCGACTGACCCGCCCAGGCCGACGGGCGCAATCCATGCTTCCATGTGTAATATCTAAATGACGCACGCGCGGCACAAATCAGTATGCAGATTCAGAGCCACACGAACCATGGAGAGAGTAGAGGGACAGGCGCAGCATCAGAGCCGGTGCGAACGCTACCCGGGCGGGATCTCGTTACGCTGTCCGCTCTCCTCCGTGATTGCGGGGGCCCGCCATGGTTAGAGGCTTCCCTGCTACATTCCTGTAGTCTCCAAGGGCGCTGCATTCATGTAGTCTACCAGGGTTTGGCCGGACACAGGTGCCTTTAATGCTGCCGAGACTGGAGCCCGAGTGTGCAAAGCATGAGTAATGCTTCGTGCCTTTTGTCTCAGATAGTCACTTGGGCTTCCCCGCAGAAGTAGTCACCAGTTCGCTCCACGGTTGCACTAGGTTTGCTCGATTGGCACAAACGCTCACAAGCGCGCCGGCACACGGGGCAGGGGGGCAACACACGCACACTACCTCTAGCGCAGCGATAAGTTCGCTCTTCTTCGTCTTCAAGGTCGGGCCGGCTTACGTGAACATGTTTCACCACTCATCTTCACTACTCTCATTTTGTCAGGCATGTCGTCTAAAGCCATCATATGATCTGTAATGATCTTGACACCGTGATAATTTGTTCTCGCACTTCAGTTACCATATCCGACGATAGCATTGGTGCCTCGTTACAAATGCACTAAGCTCAAAGGTGCGAAAGCTGCGATTAATCTACACAAATCCTCTCAGCACGGCGGGTCATATCGCGCAGCGCCTCACGATTGCCAAGCTCAGAGCTTCTCCGAGTTTCCAAACTCATAGTTCCCTCTGAATTTGGCTGGACTGATCCATCCCATCCTTCCAAAGCTTCTCGGAAACACGCTTCGGAAACAGACGGAGTCGAATCCAGAGAACTATTTCCTGGCGAAGTTGCAGGCCGCTCCCGACCGCAGTGGCAGGCTCAGCACAGGCCACCCCGGTGATCTATCGTAGCTGGCACGCCCGCCTGCGTTCAAAGTGAGTGGCAGAGCCGCTGGCTGAAGGTGCGTCGTCACACGAATTCGGGTCACGTCTCAAGCGTCGTGCTTCCCAGACAAGACGGGAAATCTTAGCGCAGTAGCTCGCGCTGTAGTCCCACCTGCCGTCGTATATGGACGTATGGACATACGACATATTCTTCGCTTGTTTCTGGCTTAGGACCAATACTTCCAACACTTGGGATTATCTGGACGGTGTGGTCAGTATTTACTGTGCATTGAGCTGCGGTTAACCAGCACTCGGACCCAACGTCAGCCCGGGAACACGGCTCTTGCAAAGAACTGGACAATGGATATTGGTGAGTACAGGAAGCTTGCTTCGGGCAATGTTACCATCGTCCGGGTAAGTGTGTTGTGTTTCTCCACCACGAGTCATGTCTTGTAGGGAACGGTGGTGCATATAAAGGAAAGACAACAGCCATCATGCGCGAATCAGGGGAACAATGGTAATGGTCCAAAACAGAGCTGGCGTATGCCATTGTAATTTAGCGGCTGTGTGCTCTGGTCTCAGTCAGCCCAGAGCCAGCAGATAATTCGAACAGTCCTTTGCTCGAATAATGTCGCGGTACCTAATCGAAACCAAAACACGAACAGTATCAGGACAACTCACCAACCAAGTTGCTTGATTTAAAAAAGACTTCAAGCATAGCAATGGGCCATAGTAAAACGCTGCGTTAAAATAAATGAGCAAGGCCCGAAAAAAGCATTGCTAGAACAGCAGCGTTGCGAGCAGCGTGGCCATAAATCACTGAACAGCAGCTGCAGCCTGGCCCCTGGGATCGGTGTTGAGCCACGGCTGCCACCCCACCGTCTCTCCTCCCTGTCCACTCGCCGGTCTGCGACTTCCGGCCCAGGCAACCACACGAAGACGGAGGAGCAAACTGGCAGTGCGCCGGAAGGCTGAGACCGTGAAACACCAGTCGTGAAACATTGATGCGATTTTCTGAGATCGCGCTCCAGCAGTTCGTCACGTGCCGACGGCAACAATCGTGGGAAGTCAACTATCAGCGAGCATAGCAATGGAATGCACGTGAGCACGACCATGTGCTATAATTCTAGAACAATGTAAGTTATTGAACCGATGAAAGAAGACATTTCAGTCCGGGTTTATCATTCACTTACTTACCAGATCAGTGCTTACTGGTCTTTCGTCTGCCGCAAAATAGATCCCGAGGGCCCGAGAACAACAGTTTGTGACAAAATTGAAGACAAAGTTCAGTTAACAATACGCACAAAGCTCATCTGTGCCAGCAAGAGTACAACAGCGTCACTCGCGTCATCGAATTTGCGCTCGATGCCGAGCCGCTCGTTCCCCTTCCCCCCCCCCCATTCCCCCCCCCCCCTCCCCCCCCCACTCTCCCACGCCGAGATCCTATTTCACCACTCACATATTGAGAAGGTGCGGCAGCCGGCGCAGAGCGTGCGCGCGTATCCGCTGCAGGTGGGCATTCTTGGAGAGAACACTGAAACCAGGCGGCATGGTTATGTTTCAGGACGAATGAACCAGCCCACACTCAGACACAACTGGCAAGATGAAGGACGCGCGTGGGCGGGGAAGGTGCTCTGAGGTCTCGTGGTGCACCATCATGCGAGCCAAGTTCTACCTGGGTCTGCAAACGCTCGCTGCTGTGTCGCAGGTATATGCATCGATGAAGGCACGTCATATCTGCTACAGTCCTTATCTGATGTATTTATACCTTTCTTGACTTTTTTAGACGTCAGCGCAGTTGGTAACTTTTGAGTCAGCATGAATCATTCACACGCTTAAAAGACGTTTAGGGCAGCGGACCTTTTTCAGTCGAATTACGTTTGTTTACTGATAACCGGGAAAATATATCACAAGGCACCGGCCCAAGACTTGCAGTCAATGCCGTGTGCCTCAACTTGAGGCTTCCATAAAACATGATCTGCATTTAAAAAGCGTTCTAAAAATAAGCATGCTCAAATGGCTTTCTTTGCAAGATGCGGATGACGTCCAGAAGTTAGAGCGTTTGCGCTACCTCGTGGTATTTCTGGAACGGGTCGTTCTCGTCTCCTGCTGAAAATTCCAGACGTTGACCTCCCACTTTCAACGGATGGTCCAAGTTCTAGACGTCAAATCACCCAACACATGGATCGTGCGCCACTTCAATCTACTGACACCCGAGCTGGAATACTGATGTCGGCCGGCCTGGCTGCTCACATGTCACGGAGATGGAGGGCGTACGGCAGGAAGTCGTCCCGTTCGATCTGACGGATGCCGGTGCCAGTCAGCGTTCTGAAATAGGACACCAGCCACAGGTAAGGCACAGTAGTGACGCCTGGCCGGGCGGACGGCACAGCAGTGGCGATTGGCCGAGCGGACGGCACAGCAGAGGGAATTGACCAAGCGGGGGGCACAGCACTGGCGCATGGCCGAGCAGACGGCCCAGCAGTGGCGCATAGCCGAGCGGGGGGCACAGCAATGGCGCATGGCCGAGCGGGGGGCACAGCAGTGGCCCATAGCCGAGCGGGGGGCACAGCAGTGGCGCATGGCCGAACGGGGGACACAGCAGTGACGCCTGGCCGAGCGGACGACACAGCAGTGGCGCATAGCTGAAGGGGGGGGGGGGGCACAGCAATGGCGCATGGCCGAGCGGGGGGCGGGGGGCACAGTTGTGGCGCGTGGCCGAGCGGGGGCACAGCAGTGCGCAGATGCAATCTTGCAAGCGTTTTGCGGCCAATGAGTCACTAATGAAGACGGAGCAATCGCAAACACTGCTGTCCCCGTCGACAGCGTTCATTCGCACCTGAACCTGTTCTCGTGCGCAACGTCAGATTGACCCCACGTCGCCCTGCGGTTTTGGCAGCCGCATTCCGAACGACTGCAGCTTTCGTCTTCAAACTTGACGTCTTTTCCGACGCGATGATTTTCACACAGCCTGTCAACATTTCAGCGCCCTCCCCCCCCCCCCCCCGCCTACATGATGCTTAGGTGAGTATAAGAGTGCTTTTTGAGAGGCACGCCATCAAGAAAGCTGCAAGATCAACTTTGTATCGCATGTCCCAGTATAACCCCCGCACAAAACTGCATGGACGCAATACTTTACTCGTCCAACCTTGTACATATTTTTCGCGCTACATGTCTTATTAAACACTCACGGTTCTCTCATCACGCACATCACATCACACATGCTTTATATTACTTTGCGCACATAAGCATTAGCTTAAGCAATTCTTCACATCGCATTTCTTTTCATACGCAGTTCTTCGCGTCACATTTGTTCGTTACGCATTTCTTCATATGCCTAGTTACGTACGTCACACTCGTTCCTTGCCCATTGTTTCGCATACTGAATTCTCCCCACAGCATTTATTCATGATAATAACTATTCCATCGCATTCCTCTCAAATCCTCAGTTTTTTCACCGCACTGATCCATCTTTGTAATTATTTGGTTAATGGTTCAAGTGTCCTAGTTGCGTAGAGCTCGTGCCTGATCCCCAAATCCAAAGAAATGCGCGGATGCTGTGCCTCACGACGTGCGCCCATCTACCTCAGTTTGAGAGCCCCACGTTAACTTGTATGCTACCTTGCTCACCACATGTCTCTCACACACCTCTTGACTCTCAGGCCGACGCATACCGCTGCTTCGCTTGCCCAGCTGTTCGTGTCACAGTTTCCGCACCCTCAGCTCACAATGTTGGCGCTGATAGGTACGCTCGCACGCACGGCTTGTAAGCAAATCTTGCTATCACATGATACTGAAAGCTCGCGTTTGCTGGTCGGGTGCCATTGGGGCTTTGCAACGCACTCAGCTGCTCAGGCTATAGACTATGACTCATTTGACTCTATGGCTCAAATGACTGCCTAGACTTAGACTATGGCGACCTCTCACCTTGGCACAGCGGGAAACAGACAGGGAGCAGACACAGCGGGAAATCGAGTCACGTATCCCTGGTTTGTCCGACGCGCAGCCAGACTCAGACTATGGCGTCCCTCTCACCTTGGCGGGAAGAGCAGGCACAGCGGGAAATCGAGTCACGTATCCTTGGTTTGTCCGACGCGCAGCTAGACAAGTTACCATGTATTTGTTGACCTGGTTCATGCACATGCACTTTGTTGAAACCAACCTAAATCGAAAACTGCCTTCTAGTTGTTTGTATGTCACCAGCGACTGCAGATGTCCGATGTCACATGGAAAACTCCATAGCGTGTAATGTGCGGTTGGCACGAATGCAAAGTGCCGAGAACGTTGCACACTGTGCTAATTCGAGTTCAGAGGCGGCCGAAACATCTAGCTCGGCAGCCAATTCATGTATAAACATAATTTAGGGCTCATATGAATGTCAGATGTGCATTTTAGTTGTTCTGTGACAAAGTCAGGGTCACGTGCCCCTTTATCACTAAACGCCACACTCTGGCCCTTCGGATGGCAACACTTGTTTAACTGAGTTGAACTGAATCACAAAAGCGCCATTCTTTATAACATGCCAAAAATCAACTCCTGGAACACAGCAACCAGAGCGTGGAAGAATGCTGAGTCCTATTTCCCATCTAAAACCTACATAACAGACAAAATGACAGAGGTACGTCAAGAGGCATGTTGATGACGACAATAAACACGTTGAACGAAATGTTTCGGATTTGGAGGCATTAAAGTCAGCATCAGATATGATGAAACAAGCTCACTCATAACTATTGGTATACTCTTAAGTCGAAAAACTGCTCTAGACAGAACAGTTTTCTGCTCAGTTAATATACTCCTCAATGTGTCATGGTTTGGTTACGTCATCGCAACTTGCAAAACATTCCCATTGACGGTCGTTATACCTGAAAATGGCACTCACGAACGCCAGATATGAGCGTCTCGACAATTATATTTCTTTGACCTCGATCGCTGCATGACTTATGGAGTGGTAGGATTCAAATGACGTTATTATGACGTCATGAGTACCAGGGTGACTTTGAAATACTCTCCCCGATCAACCTTTCCTTATTTCCGCGGCCGTTTAGCTAAAAGAAGAGGGATTTAAATTTCAAGAAGGGCAGGATTGTGGACGGCACCAAAAGGTCCTCAAGATGGCTGCTTCATTTCAAAACCACATGCTAATGTGGAACATTCCCTTTAACACGCGCTCGGGTGGGGGTCAAAAATAAATTGGGAGCCATAAAAAAGTTCGGGATCCCACCGTCCAGTGTTCATATCGTCCAGGATCGCAGCATCCAGTGTTCATAACGTCCAGAAAACGTCCAATTCCGTGTCCATTGGGGGCGCTCATGAGGTCCAGGGACGCAAAGTCTAGAGTTGCAGAGCCTAGATCGTAGAGTTTAGTGTACAAAATGTCCAGTATCCATGGCAACCAGGCTAGTTAGGATTTCTGCCGCTAGATAACACTATAGAAGCATTTTTGAATCCTGTCGTTATTTTCCTCTTGTCAACAAATGGCACAGTCAACGTGGCATTCCGCTGATGATGACGTGATGCGTACAGTCAATCATGGTTACTATAAATTACCGAGACGCCTGGTGGCTGTGTCCGGCCTGGGTACGGCCGCGCCCCGAGGCTTACCGGTGGACTGGGCGCAGATGCGCCTGGCGGCGGCGCGGCCGGAAACATGGAGGGCGGCGCGGACCCGGCAGGCACCGCTGCACCCGCGGGGTAAGAGGGCTCTCCTGCCCCGCCGCTGCTGCCTGGGCCCCAAATACTAGGATACGCTCGGTTGCTCAGGGGCCCTTCATATTGGTATCGGGTTATTTCCACTTGCTTAGAAGACCCCGTGCTTTTACTGGGGCCCCATATAAGGTAACGCTCCGGGACACTCGATGCTCAGGGTCCCTCTTCATTGACCTCTGACTCTTTCCCTTTTTGAGGTTATTTGCTGAGGACCCTTCACTCGTCAGAGCTCTCTCTGTTAAACTGTCCGGGCACTCTTGATCACACAAGGGTGTTAATTCATGTACACTTATCTTCGGCTAGTGCCCTTTGTTCAGGGGATCCTGTACTCCGGCCGAACCCTATATGTTTGCCTGCCAGGGTGCCCCCGATCATTCAAGGGTCACACCATATAGGTGTTAGGTTCTTCTCGCTTCTTATGAGGACCATTCACTGTTCATTGGAGCTTCTTTGTTGGCCTGCCACGGCAGTTTTGATTGCTCAGATGCCGTCCTTTTTGGTCTCGGGTTTTTCCATAGTATAGGAGTGCCTACGCCATTGACGGGTACCCAAATCTTAATAATTTGTATTGGGGCTTTACTTCTTACCTACTGATGACTGAATTTGCGGCTACGGCGATCACGCCGATTAATTCGCTATTGTCACTGTCGGGCATAATTTTACACGCCGCCGACGTCGTGCATATTATTTCAATTGCTTATTGAAGTTGTGACGATTGTTATATCTCTACGTTACGTTTTAATATCTTTTCAATGATGGGATATTCTGTATTCCCTTGCAACAGACAAAGTAAAATTCTGTATTAGTCCTCAACCATCAGCTGATCTCATCAGCTACCCGGCTAACCGTGTATAAGCTAGGAATCAAGTGCTTGATTTTGATGACATTTAGCAAGCATTTCATGTGTACGCTGCCATGTTTTCTTCAAAATAGTTAGCCTTAAAACGACAGAATCCACCATGATCCGACGAAGATGAACAAGCTCCACGTATTTTCATACAAAGCACGCTTAGTTTTCTAGGGCTGTGCGCAGTAGCTAGGTTCCCGTATACAAACTGCATACATAAGAATATTAAAACTTAATGGCTGGAATACGAGGATTTTTGTTGGATATGAAAGGTCCGAAAGAAAGGTTTCGTTTGGCCGAATGGGCCGATGCAGAATTTCGGTAATGGAGAAGCACGGGCATTGTGACGACGCGTCGTAAAGCCCCGATGACAACGGAGGCTGTTGGTGCCTGTTTTCTTGAACAGGGTGTCCCTTCCCCGATTCAGAATTTTTCCAAAGTGAAAAGCACACCGATTGGAATGTCGCTGAATTTTGGCGCCCTTTTAAATTATGGCTTTGGGCTTTGTAAATGGCCCACGTTGATTTAGTACCCCTTGGTAATCCAAATGACGTCGCCCCGCAAGGACGGTTTTGTGCCTCCTTGCCCATGGGTCCGACCCAGGATTTTATCAGGGCGGAAAGCCCCATCCAACCCCCACCCCTTACCACTCTGGATCCGCCATTGGTCAAGGCCGGTTGACAACACACACCTCATCGCCTCATCGACCCAAAGCGTAGCCCGTTATTTCTTCCTAATTTGCCATTCGGCTCCTCGCGTAAGCCCCATTCATGTC